TCCCAGCCCCCCACAATCCCCTCCCAGTCCCCCCCAGTCGCTCCCAGTCCCCCCCAGTCGCTCCCAGTTTGATCCCAGTTTGCTCCCAATCCCCTCGCAGCCCCTCCCAGCGCTCCCAGTCCCCCCCAGTCGCTCCCAGTTTGCTCCCAGTTTGCTCCCAATCCCCTCGCAGCCCCTCCCAGCGCTCCCAGTCCCCCCCAGTCGCTCCCAGTTGGCTCCCAGTTTGCCCAGTTGGCTCCCAGTCGCACCTGGCCCGGCAGTGGGCGGCGCTCAGCACCCACTGGGGGCTCAGCAGGGCCCCCCCGCAGACGAACTGGTTCCAGTCGCACCTGGCCCGGCAGTGGGCGGCGCTCAGCACCCACTGGGGGCTCAGCAGGGCCCCCCCGCAGACGAACTGGTCAAACTGGAACAGCCGCACCAGCCCCGCGTGCTCCTCCGGGGGGCACTCGGAGCCCCCCAAAATCCGCCCGGGGTGGGGCCGGCCTGGGGGAGGGGGGGTCAGAATTCCCGAAATTCCCAAATTCCCGAAATTCCACCCAAAAATTGCCCAAATTCCACCCGAAATCGCCAAAATCCCACCCCAAAATTGGCAAATTCCACCCCAAAATTCCACCCAAAAAAGAACCCAAAGGTTTCGAAATCCCACCTGAAAATTTCCAGAAATTCCGAAATTCCCAAAATTCCCCAATAAAAATCCCAAAATTCCACCCAAAATTGGCAAATTCTACCCAAAAATTCCAAAATTTCCCCCAAAATTCTACCCCAAAAAAGTACCCAAAGGTTTCAAAATCCCACCTGAAAATTTCCAAAAATTCCCCCCCCCCCAAAATCCAGAAAGGGTCAGAATTCCCGAAATTCCCAAATTCCCAAAATTCCCACCAAAAAATCCCAAAATTTCTCGAAATTCCAAAAATTCCACCCAAAAAGTCCACCTGAAATTCCCTAAAATTCCACCCAAAAATTCCGGAAAATCCCTCCGAATTTCCCAAAATCTTCCCCCAAAAAATTCTCCCAAAATTCCACCTAAAAAAAATCCCAAAATTTTCCAAAATTTCTCCCGAAAATTCCACACCAAAGTTGCCTAAATTTCAAAAAAAACCACCCTAAAATTCCGGAAAATTCCCCCGAATTTCCCAAAAATTTACCCAGAAATTTCCAAAAATTTCCCCTGCAATATTCCACCCCAAAAATCCCCAAATTTGCCAAAATTCCACCCAGAAATTCCCAAAATTCTCAAAATTTCACCCAAAAACTGCTCCCCAAAAATCCCTCTCAGGACGCCCCAAAATCCGCCCGGGGTGGGCCCGGCCTGAGGGAGGGGGGTCAGAATTCCCGAAATTCCCAAAACTCCCCAAATTGCCAAAATTCCACCCAAAATTACCAAACTCCATCCAAAAATAACCCCAAAATTCCATCCAAAAATACCCAAAAGTTTCAAAATCTCACCTGAAAAATTACAAAAATTCCCCCTCAAAAATTGCCCCCCCGAAAATTCCAGAATTCCACCCAAAAATTCCAAAATTTTCCCTAACCCCCCCCAATTTCCCCCTAAAATCCCCCAAATTTTCCCAAATATTCCCCAAATTTCCCCTAAAACGCCTCCAAACCTCCCCAAATCCCTTTAAATCCCTCTTATTTCCCTGAAGATTTCCCAAATTTCCCCCAAATCCCCTCAATTTTTTCCCAAAATCTCCCATATTTCCCCTAAAATCCCCTAATTTTTCCCTAAAATCCCCCAAATTTCCCCCAACCCCCCAATTTCCCCCTTAAATCTCCCAAATTTCACCTAAAATCCCAAAATATTTTCCTAAAATCCCCCAAATTTTGCCCCAAATCCCCCCCAAATTCCCCAAATTCCTCAAAATTTCCTTTAAAATCCCCCAATTTTCCCCCAAAATACCCCTTAAAATCCCCCGAAATCCCTCAAATTTCAGGTGTCCTCCATGGTGTCCTGGATCCAGCGGGCGTAGCGGCACACCTTGGTGTAGACGCCGGGGCGCCGCGGCTGCCCGCAGCGCTCCATGCCCCACGAGACGATGCCCTGCAGGGTGCCCTCGCACACCAGGGGGCCGCCGGAGTCACCCTGAGGGGACGGCGGGACGGCGTCACCACCGCGGGGCCAACCGAGCCCTCCTGGGGCTGGTCAAACCCTTGGTGGGTCCCCTTGGGTTGGGTGAATGTGTTGGGTTGGGTGACCCCTTGGGTTGGCCAAACTCTTGGTGGATCTCATTGGGTTTGATGACCCCTTGATGGGCCTCGTTGGGTTGGGTGACTCCTTGGTGGATCTCGTTGGGCTTGGTGAGCCCTTGGGTTGGCCAAACCCTTGGTGGGTCTCATTGGGTTGAGTGACCCCTTGGTGGATCTCATTGGGATGAGAGACCCCATGGATTAGTCAAACTCTTGGGGGACATCATTGGGTTGGGTGAACGCGTTGGGTTGGGTGACCCCTTGATGGGCCTCGTTGGGATTGGTGACCCCTTGGTGGGCCTCGTTGGGTTGGGTGACCCCTAGGTGGATCTCGTTGGGTTGGGTGACCCCTAGGTGGATCTCGTTGGGTTGGGTGACCCCTAGGTGGATCTCGTTGGGATTGGTGACCCCTTGATGGATCTCAGTGGGTTTGGTGACCCCTAGGTGGGCCTCGTTGGGTTGGGTGACCCCTTGGTGGGCCTCGTTGGGTTGGGTGACCCCTTGGTGGGCCTCGTTGGGTTGGGTGACCCCTAGGTGGACCTCGTTGGGTTGGGTGACCCCTTGGGTTGGCCAAACTCTTGGCTGACCTCATTGGGATGAGAGACCCCATGGATTGGTCAAACTCTTGGGGGACATCATTGGGTTGGGTGAACGCGTTGGGTTGGGTGACCCCTTGATGGGCCTCATTGGGTTGAGTGACCCCTTGGTGGGCCTCGTTGGGTTGGGTGACCCCTTGGTGGGCCTCGTTGGGTTGGGTGACCCCTAGGTGGGCCTCGTTGGGTTGGGTGACCCCTTGGGTTGGCCAAACCCTTGGTGGATCTCATTGGGTTGAGAGATGCCATGGATTGGTCAAACTCTTGGGGGACATCATTGGGTTGGGTGAACGTGTTGGATTGGGTGACCCCTTGATGGATCTCATTGGGTTTGGTGACCCCTTGGTGGGCCTCGTTGGGATTGGTGACCCCTTGATGGGCTCATTGGGTTGGGTGACCCCTAGATGGATCTCATAGGGTTGGGTGACCCCTTGGTGGGCCTCGTTGGGATTGGGGACCCCTTGGTGGGCCTCGTTGGGATTGGTGACCCCTTGGTGGGCCTCGTTGGGTTGGGTGACCCCTTGGTGGATCTCGTTGGGTTGGGTGACCCCTAGGTGGATCTCGTTGGGATTGGTGACCCCTGGGGTTGGCCAAACCCTTGGTGGATTCCGTTGGGTTGAGAGATGCCATGGATTGGCCAAACTCTTGGTGGATCTCATGGGGTTGAGTGACCCCTTGATGGACATCGTTGGGTTGGGTGACCCCTTGGGTTGGGTGACCCCTTG